GTGTGGCGGGGGGGCAGCGATCGCTGCTCAGAGATGGGCTGGGCATCGGTCAGTGGGTGGTGAGCGGTTGCATCACTTGTTTTTCCTAGGTTTTGTTTCTCTCTCTCTCTCATTGTTTTCCTTTTCATTACAATTTTTTAATTTTTATTTTTTTATTATTATTACATTATTACATTATTTCAATTATTAAACTGTTCTTATCTCAACCCACAAGTTTTCTTACTTTTGCCCTTCCAGTTCTCTCCCCCATCCCACCAGGGGGGAGGGTGAGTGAGGGGCTGTGTGGCGCTTGGTTGCGACTGGGGCGAAACCACAACAATCATCCACAAGCAGTTGCAACAACTGCTTTGTTTCTACTTTTCACAACCAACCAAAAGAGGAGGAAAACCTGTGTGAGCAACAGACCACTGGTAAATGCACCTGAGAAAGCCATAATTTAAGTTTATTTCTTATTCACAACTTCCACTAAAGAGCTTTTCTTTGCAAAAAGTCTCCCAGTGCAACAATTCATGCCCACGATTTGATAATTAGAAATTATGGTAACTTTTTGCATAAATATGAAAGAAATGTGGAACTGTGTTCTTTGCATCCACATATGCTTTCCTGAGTATCAGGAAAAGATTAGATCAACTGTTGGGTCATATTCCCCCTCTCCTGTCTTTCACATAACAGCAGATATCAGTAACATTAAAAAGACACAAAATTAATGCTGTACAGACAGTACGGTTACATGTCATTTCTCACCATCATTAATAAGCATGCCAAGCCTAAACAGTCAGAAATGCACTTAAAAATTAAAGGAATATTCACTGGGTGACTTCATTTCAATCTGTACCGCAGATATAACTCAAAAAAAAAAAAAAAAAAAAAAAAAAAAAAAAAAAAGAAGTCAGAGAATGTAGCCATTCAGGAGTCATATTGTTGCAAACACAAAAGACCTCATCATTCAGATACCAAATCTCTTTCTGGAATTGTCTTATTTTGTAGTTATCTGCCACAAACTCAAAATTTCTATGCAACTTCAGGAGGGGAAAAAAAACCCCAAACCAAAACAAAACAAAAACCACAAAAAGAAAATTCTGGGGTACATCACATGCCAGCTTTTGCTTGATCAACAGTATAGATGTAAAAATGCTTGAGGAAAGACTGAACTTTTAAAATTCAAAGCTATTTAAATAGTAACTGACAGGTACCCCTTAATATTACCCTTTGCTACCCATCCACACAGGCAGCAACATTAATTCCAGAGAATACTACTACCACCAAATCAAGGGTGACTAAACAGCACTGGGGACAAGGATGAAGTGCATAGGGGCCCAGATGGTCTTCTAGATCCTGCCAGTGAGGGAAAAGGCTTGCAAAGGAGCATGTGGAACCTGTGGATCAATACATGGTTACACAGCAGGTGCCACTGATGCATTTGGCTTTTAAAATCATGAGACTGTCTCTAATGATCAAGGACTGCTGGGAGAGATGAAATCCCCCTGACAGAGATCAAGATCATCTTTGCCAACAGGTTGACCAACCTGGTGAGGAAATGGTGGATGGGGTGGAAAGCAAATGGTGCATGGTGATAGGAACAAGAGAAACCTAAGAAATGACAAAGCACGATGAAAAGAATAAAACAGAACAACCTAGGAAACAAGCAGGAACAAGGAGGAACCAGAGCTCCTCTAGTGGTCCCAGAACTGCAACATCATTAGAGTAACAGAGATTTGGTGGAGTGAGATATTGATGCTTCTAAGAATTTCTGCATTAGCAGACTGGTGTCTGGGTTTGAGAATGCGTAGCCAATGACAACAGAGTGGAGGAATTTGTGAGAGCCAGAAAAACAAAAATAATCACACTTGTGAACAAGTTAGAGTTCCACAAACACTTGTGCACCTGAATTCAAACATTAAAAAAAAAAAAAAAAAAAGTGCAAGCTTTATTGTTAGCTTTTCTTTCAATTAACTAAAGTCTTATTTTTCATTGTCTTTTACTGGCCAAAAGGTGGGTGTTTTCCTGTATTTTTCAACTATCTGCCAACACTTCATAAATGATTCAAAATTCTCCAAAAATCATCGTTCAGAGTGAGCGGAATGTTAAAAAGCCTCAGAAATCTTATTCAGAGCTAAGTACATGTGGCTGAAACAAAAGTGGAAAAAATTTGCAGCTGCTAATGATCCACAAATAAAGAAATACAAACAGCCTGGGACAGCATATTGAAGAGTGTTTAAAGTTTGCCCTGCCATTCTATCAATGGAGGGTATAATTGTTCTAAAACCAAGAACCCAGGAATCAGGGAACAGGATAGGATTTCAATGCTTCAACTACAAGGCAGGCTAGAGCGCAAACCCCTAAATTCAGACCTGGCTGAAGCAGAACATACTATGAACATGTCCAATGACACATAATGAAGGCTTGTTGCACCATTCAAAACGTTTTTGAGTGAGCTACTACAGTAAGCCACATCTGTCTGTCTGTCAAGCAACACTTCTGATCACTGATACCCTCAAAATTGAAATAGAATATGTACGTGCATACTGAAGAAGGCATTACTGATTAATATGGAATTGTTCTACTCCCTAGCCAATGCAGTCATCTTATTAGCATGCATTTAAGGTATTAAACCATTAAAAGCCAACCCTCAAAATATGCTATTTGGATAATCAACACAATCCTGTGGATGAATATATATGAAGTTACTGCTGCTGTTCATTAACTGATCTCTAATGAAATTATACTGAGATCTTTAAATTATTACAATGTTCCATTTCAGTCAGAAACTTTTACCCAAAATCTATGTTCAGATGTATCACTTACCTGATACACATGGAATGCATTAGCAGCTTTTCCACGCAGAAAGACTGAGGGAATCCAAACATTAATAAGAGCACGATTTGATCTGAGGAGGAGAGTGAAAAACTTAAAATATGGAATCATATTTATGTATAAGAATTGCAAAGAATTACCCCCAGTGATTTAGATAATTATTAAAGTGATCAACAAAGCAACTTAAGATTTCAAATGGAGTATCAGAAAAATTGTAGTTCTGCCTGAACCTTTTATACCTGCTGTATCTAAAAGTGTTCCCTAATACTAATATAACTGAAAAAGAGCACTGAAACAATTCCCTTTGTGGGTTTTTTGGGTTTTAGTTTTTTTACAGAGTGCATTTGACAACATTTGACTATACACATGAAACAAAAACTATTCATTTCAACTCAACATTTTGGTCCGCAAAACTCAGAAAAAAGACTGAGTTCATTAAATAACAGAAGAGCACTGCGCAATTATGGAGAAGCCATTTCCATTCACTCTTTGTAATTCATCTCCAAATTTCTATGATTCAAAGACATCAGCTATATTTTCACCCCCTCATCCACAAAAAGCTAGATTTATTAGTCTGACTAATAAAGGCAAAACTCCAAATCACAACACTCTAGAATGATCTGGGATGACCAGCTGGGTCATTTGTGGGCTTTTCTGCAGTACTATTTGTATGCATTGATTAGGAGTTATTCTGTAAAAATGAGAAAGTCCATCACATTATGAATAGCATGTAGCATCTATCAAACCCAAAGCAACAGAAACCAGTAACTTTTTGGTGCTTAGTTAGAATACCAAGACCTAGTGCACTGAAAGAGCACTCCAAGAGAATCTTCATAAATCTAAAGTCCTTGCATTCAACATTATTAAAAACTACACTAGGCCATGGACTGTGCAGCTCTCCATACTTTTTAACAATGGAACACCACAGCTGCGAATTCAGTTATTGGAAATAATATAGGAAAAGCAAATTATCAAATCTGTTTGCTTATTCTTCTTTCCCATAAAGACAGCGCGGAGAGAAAAATATGTGTATTATGAAACTTACATTTCAAAATCCGACAAACTCTGATCTTCAGATGTTTGACTCAAGTCGCCAGGGACCTATATTTACAAAACAGAAATAATTCTCACACACTGGTTATTATGCTTTCTGTTAAGAAAGCATAATATAATAAGGAAATTACAATTCAACATTGAATTTTTAAATGCCAATAAAAACTATTACTGCAAAACAATAAAAGAAACATAAACAGTCATGCAACAGGATTATGAACATATCACCCTTGCGAGTTCTTCATGTTAGAATTTGCTATAGTTTTGTAAAGAAACAATTTGGGGTTTGTAAAAGCATGTAATTTTGAAAGGTATAGAAAACCCAGAAAAAAGCATCATTATTAGGCCTTTATAAGCAAAGTATGCTAAAACAAAGTACGTTGTGTGTATAAACAATTTATGGGAAGAGATGAAGCATACAAAACCTAGCAATCACCTTCTTTTACAACCAACATTACATTAAGAGAAAGACACATGATTATTTTATTTTAGCTGTGTTCTTACAAAACATTATATAGCTACAAAAGTTCATAAAGATGGCAATGGTGGACTAACACCTGAAGATCAAAAAAAGTAGCAGTTGTGAGACAACAAGATTGAAAGAGCATTTAGAACTGAAACAATAGCTTTTTACCTTACTTTAAAGCTAGTTAAACATAAAAGGATAACTTCTTACCTTTAAGTACTATAAAATGTAAAGCATAACCCAGAATAGTTAGTGTGTTTTGATGAAGAAACACAGCTAAAAGTTGTGAACTTCCAGAGACAGCTTCTACATTAGTTAAATACTGGTTCAGTGTATCTCTGTAATGTATGTCGTATGCACATTACTGTTTTTCAGAATATTTGCTGCCCAAGAAACTTAAATATATATTATTGCTTATTGTAAAGCAACATATATTTACTTACTGGAAAGCAATATGAAATTTCAAAGGGGACTAAAAGAAAATCTACTTCCCAAATGTTTTGACTGACCAGCTCAAGACCTCCCAATATACAAGACAAAACCGCATTCTGCCTTCCCAAGATTCAAGGGATACGGCTCAGCAAAAACTAAGTCATTCCTGCCTGAGAAAGGAAAAGAACTGTGCAGAGCCAAGACAGCTCCAGGGCATATATACAGAATCCTGAACACCTCTGCTGCCCTTTTTTGGGGAAATGAGGTGGAAAGGGCCAGTATGACCTCTCTCTCCATTACCACCAGCAGCTGTTGCCTGTTCAGAGTCCCGTCCACCCTCCAGTGGCAGCACACAGCCTGGCTCTCCAGGGCTCTTGTGCCAGAGAACAGACATTCTTCTATCTTGCCTACAACCTGCACCCTCTCTTTGCCTGTATCTGAAGTGGCAAATCCTACCACCAGGTATATACAGTTATTTAAACTCACTTCAGTAAAAGTTTTGCATAAAAACCTCAAAAGCGGAGTGTGGACTTTGGAAATAAGAAAAAGGATAACATTCACGAGTTCCGGTGCTTGCACATCTATGTTGAAACGGATTGGTTACTGATTTTGAGATGGTAATTGAAGTGGTGTTCATTCTAATGCAAAACACAGTGATGGAGACCTTACATCAATGTACTTCCTCATACCCTTGAAAGCACATACTTTTTGTTTTAATAGTAATCTGTTGCAGAAGTTCTGAAAACCATTAACTAGAAATTTGGAAAGACCACTGTGAACAATTCATTTATAAATTACAGCCATTAAAATTTACTATCAGCATTAAAAGGAAAGGACAAGACAGCGAAGAATCATGGAAGCTATTTTTATAACAAACTGTAAATTATATATTATTTTAATAATAAAATGTTAAGAACGTGGCTGATATTTTGAAACAAGTCAAAGAGGGGATCAGATATTCATATCCCATAATCTCTGGCAGTTACACACTTTACCAACTTTGAAAGTTCTAATTAAGGTCTACTAAGTAACAGACAGACTATCAGCACAGAGTTTTGTTTACTAATATAGAATTAAAACGTATCTACTTCTTAGGATAATGCAAAAATATTTAGGACTATATTCAATTCACAACTTCATTTTGGACAATAGCAACTAAAACCAACTAGCATGTAGCTAGCCCTTAAAAATATAGTACCACTTCCACATCTTAAAAAGTTTTAGGAATTAGTTTTCTCTCAGTATCTGATACATTAAAATATAGTATAAATATCTAACTACTGGATTAAGCTATGGAGATAAATGGTTAAAAACAAAATCTCTGAACAGGGACACAAAGCCCAAAATCTCCGAGTAAGAAAGTGCAGCTATAATGCGTATGTGATTTATCATTTGTCATCTCTTAAAACAATAGTGTGACTGTTTCCATCTAAAGGGCTGAAAATTATAGGTGAAATCCTGCTTCACTAATGCACACAGAACTGTCATCAGCCACTTTACATAAATGTCATGATAAAATAGGCAAGAATGCTTCCAGTGCAAACAAAAAAGTAAGGAGCAATACCACGTAATCATATGAACAAAAACTATCAAAATATGCCTCCCTCGGACGACGGACAACTATTAGGAACATTCTTGACTCCCTCTGTTTGCTCACTGTTAATTTTCAAATTTCAACCCAATCTTTTCTTTTAACACAAGAAGCCCAAGTGAAGCAATAGCTGATAGAAAACAATTTTATTGTCTGAATATATCTATTTTACACTCAATTCTATTAAAGAGAATCAAACACTATAAAAAATACCAAGGTGTTCTTGACAGATGTGTTATTAGCTGTTATTTCTTATAAGTGAATATATATTTTATTTCATCATGAGTAATGGTTTTGAGCTTACTCCAGAGTGGTATTCTACATTGTAATAAACAAACACTTACCGGCCCTCTCAAATCAATTAGTTCTTGTCTCATCTGGGACACAAGAGCTTCTTTAGCCATCAGAGCACGGTGCAGCCTCTCGTTGAATTCTATCAGTTCCCCATGCATTTCAGCTACCTGAAAAACAAAGACAAGAGATAATTGTGTTCTAAACTGAAAAAAACCCACACTATATAATATCTTACATGTGTATCAACTTTTATTTGTATTTTTTATTTTACCATACTCTCCAAGTAGTGCATCTCATTGCTAATGCATTAGTTTGAACTGACCATTAAGAACAGACACTGTCATAATAATTTTGACTCATGCCTTGAAATGTAGGTTTTGATATTGAATTCAATAGGACAAAATACAACTCTATGTCTAATCTGATTCCTATCAGAGGAGATCCTATGGCAACTGATTCTAATAAAGCACCTATTAACTTTTGTTCTCAGTTTAATTCTTTGATGAACACAGCACTCAACATTTACAAACTAATCACAATATTTTCATCTGGGAATAATGCAAAATGCATAAACTGCATTAAACTTTGCCAATAATTCATGAGTAATGTATTCTGCACTCAGAGTTTTAATAGGATTGGAGCTAGAAGTCCACTCATCCCAGGCAAATCTGTGAGGGGTCAAAAGAGCATAAATACCATAGTTACGCTGTGGCGCAAGTTGTTGTGCATAGGTAAATAGTGTGGCCTCAAGCATGGCCTCTTTGGACACAAAGTCTAGCTATGTCTGTGCTCTCCATTTTTGAGTCAAAGTGTCAAGAAAGCACTAACTGATGCAGGATGTTTATGAAACTCAACAGGGCTGGATGAATGACAAGGATGAAAAGTACACCAATTTACAGAGCAAACTATGTTTAAGTTGGTTCCCTGCCAAGAGAAGCAAGAAACAATAAACCCAAATCAAGGTTAAAGATGATATTGAGCTCTTGAATTCTTCTTACACAGAAGTGTAAGCCTACAGCTTAAGGGGCAAGAACTCCAAAAGGACAAGGGTTCCCAAATAGCAAAGGTCTAAATAGTAGCAGTAATGTGTTATCATCAAAAGAATGTGATGAGGAAACTAGCAGAAACTGGGAGCAAGGCTAAAAGAAACTTAAAATCTGTGTTCAGCAAGATTTTTAGCTACTCCTACCAGAACCATTATACTATAAAATTGAATCAAAGTTTCAATTATGATGGATGATGCATCAGTACATAATATACCTGGCAAGGGAGTTGTCTTGAACTGATAATGCCACTTGTAGCCTTACAGCAAAGAAATCTGAGCCAAAACAGGTTTGCAGATTTATTTTCAAGGGAACAGAAAGACTCTTCAGAAAACCCTGCTGTTTCCAAGTAAACCTCCCTATATGACTCGTGTATTAATGTCCTGGTTTTGGTTGGGATAGAGTTAATTTTCTTCCTAGTAGCTGGCATAGTGCTGTGGTTTGGATTTAGTATAGTGTAATGTTGATAACACACTGATGTTTTAGTTGTTGCTAAGTACTGCTTATGCTAGTCAAGGACTTTCTCAGCTTCCCATGCTCTGCCAGGTGCACAAGAAGCTGGGAGGGGGCACAGCCAGAATAGTTGATCCAAACTGCCCAAAGGGCTATTCCATACCATGTGACATCATGCTCAGTATATAAGGTGGGGGAGTTGGCGGGGGGGAGAGATCGCTGCTCGGGGACTGGCTGGGTATTGGTTGGCGGGTGATGAGCAATTGCATTGTGCATCACTTGCTTTGTGTATTATTAGTACTATTATTACTATATTGTTATTATTACTACTGCTAATACTACTTTACTTTATTTTATTTCAATTATTAAACTGTTCTCATCTCAACCCAGGAGTGTTTCTCACTCTTACTCTTCCAATTCTCTTCCTCATCCCACCGGGGCAGGGGGAGTGAGTGAGTGGCTGCGTGGTGCTTAGTTGCTGGCTGGGGTTAAACCACAACAATTAAGAAAAGGAATACTGATTGAGTGCCGCTATCAGAGGTGGAGCACCAGATGAGCAGTCCCAGGGCAGAGCAAGAAAAGCTACGATTTTAACAGGAGCAGTTGTATGAAAACAGAAGCAGTGACTGGTCGGCCTCTCTAGGAGGCATAGCTGGCTACCGCAGCAACATTGTTAAACATGTTTTTCAGGTTACAGCAACTCTTGAAATGCCTCCTCATACAGCCGTCCAAAGCTAGGAGAACAGTAGAGGCTATGGGATAACATCATGAAGGCGCAGCTGAGTAAGATGAATATCAATCCACTACCGTCAACGACAGCACAGAGACTTGGACTATTGCCACATCTCCTAAGCGTTCATGGTTCCCCTTCTGGAGGCAGTTCACTACTACCTACGAATTTCATGCTTTCCTTTTCTTGAATTACCACTCTGCCTCCTACCTCTTCCCCAGGGAAGTTCCCCAAGATAAAGCAGTTTAATTGAATTTGTTTAATTTAGTGCTTGCTTTTAATTTAGTGCTTTGTTCCAAACAACCTGTATCTTTCACATAATCAAAACAAACAGAAAAAACCAGCTTCAATTTGACAAGCCAGGAGCTGACATCATTGATTAAAAATAGAAAACAAAAATAATTATACCTGAGTTGAACTTCATGTATTCTTTTCCAATTTCTTTTTATATTAGAGGTAGTCCTTCAAATCCGGTAATTCATCAGTGTGGCATATATGCAAAAAGAGCTAAACTAAGCCCAGATATGATTTGTCTAGACTGATATCTCTCATTAAGTCTGAATTTACAAACTATTCTGAAATTCTCAGCAAATTACAAGCTAAAAACCAGTAACAGTAACTGAGCTAACAACACACTTTCCTTGTAATGGGACTATCAGGAAGTACAAAAGCTAAAGATTTCACAGAGTGATTATTTAAACCGAAACAAGCGAACATTTTTATTTATCTGCCCAATTATGTAAGCAGTTTTAGATTAATATTGATGCTTTGTCTTACATATCACAATACAAAAAACTTGCAACAAGTCTAAGTTACCATGTAGTTTCACTCCTCACTTTCTGAAGTGCAAAGGTTTAATGTAGTATTAATATGGTTTCAACAATCAAAAGCTTTATTATTATTATTATTTATAGTGTACTAAAGCAGCTTTCATTTACTGCTTTTGTTTTTGTTCTTGTCAAGGATTTCTGCTGCACTTAATCCCATTAGAAAAACTAATTTCCCAGCCTCCTAATTAGACTCTTTTGTGGCTCCTCCTGATAAAAATCAGAACAGTAGGACTTCCATGTTATCAATTAATGACACTATGTACTCATATCTCAATTGTTCATTTAACATCAGCCTTGATAAAAAAGGTTCTTTGACTTCAAACACTTGTTAGTATTTAGTAAGCTCATTTTGCGAAAACAAAAGATACGTAAATCCATATGAACTTCTGTGTTATGACTAACATAGTAGGTGCCACTTAGCAAGCAGTTTTGCTTCATAGATTACAAATATTTATGCACCAAACAAAACTGCCAACCTTACTACATAAAGTAATAACATAATGTCACTAACTCTGGATAAATTATTTTTGCATACTAGCTTAACCACTCATTCCAATTCAAAGTGAGAGGTGTAATATTTAAGAATATCATAAGCCCCTCTCTGATTCAGGTTAATATTAGCAGGTCATTGCTAATTACAGAGAGCCTGAGCTGGGAGACTGAACTTCCTTGTGTTTCACACACAAAAAGATGCAGTATGCTACTAGTTGCAAATGCACAGAGAAAAACTGTAGTGCTGATAGTTGGTTGATTGGTTATCAAAAGCAATACACAAACTTGTGAATGGATGCAAAACTCAGGAGTTTACATATTTGAAATCATGTTTGATTTTTCAGTCCCTGTCTCTATCAGAAGAACAAAATCCAAACTCTGATGTAATATCTGACTGTTTTCTCTCCCTCTAATTTGGATGTCCTTGAAATAACCTTCTACTTGCAGACTTGATTAATACGTAAATTCAACAGTGCTCTCGAAACACTGGCAGTAATACAAAAATTTGTAAGTGTCCCTAGCAAAGTTAAGTAAGAAAATTTACAACAAATAAAACAGCAAATCACTTGTTATATATTATCAAAAGGACAAATTGGCAGGTATGTTACCTGTGAAAATCACTTCTATTAGTAATTAAGTTACTTTACTTTTTCTTGTCAAAGAAAAATGTATAGCCGTCACAGCAAACCAAAAGGAGCAATGATATACACTTCTGCATAACAATATTAATTCAGGTTCCTCCAATTTTTTTCTGCATCAAGGTCTGCTAAAAACAATAAATAGGTCTCCTTATAATTACATCCTTTCAGTTACATTTTATGTCATCACACCTTCCTTTATTCATTCCACAGTGAGGCTCAGCAGTAATTTTCCCTACTGGGAATGTAATCATCTTTACAGTTGTTTTGCTCCATGACATTATGTTTAAAGCAGAAAATTAAAGTACTAACAAGCTAAGTTTCCCTTGGCCAGAAGATCATTCAGATTTGGTCCTGGTCATATCAGAAAGCATGCTTAAAGAGCCCAAATCCTTATCATGAAGGGGAAGTGAGGCTGACATAAAATATTTAGATTCCACACTAACTGAACTCCAAAGACCTCTTGTCAAAAGAAAATCTAAATCGACTCCTGCTGCCTGGCAGCACTGCAGTTGTACCATCCAGCATGACCACACTTAAGAGCAGTCTCCAGAAAAATGACAAAGGTAAGCACCACTTAATGTTCCACAGCAAAGGACTAAGCTGTTAACAAAACATGTTAGGAATGTTTCACTAAGCATCTGAATAATACAATCTGTCTTAGAAGGACATGCACAAGAAAAAAATAATGTTTTTTTTAAAGGGTGTTTTAGTGGAACTCAGATTTTTTCTTAATGTAATTTGCAGCTAAAATTCATAAAAGTTTTTTGCACAAGCCACATCTGAATTAATGACTTTTTATCTGGTATAGGCATTTTTTTCCCCAATTGTCACAAAATTCAAAACAATGTATTTCCCAAGAAACTCTAGACAGAACTGGGAAGTTGCTTCCTTTTGCTCTCAGTGGGAGCAAGGGTGTATTTTTCCCACGAGAAGATGCCTTTTTTCAAAAATCAACGTTCTTCTACATTTTTTCCCAAC